TGTGTGTGTGTGTGTGTGAGGCACAATTCCACTTTATGTGCATGGTCTCCGCAGAGTCTCACAACCATCCTGCGAAGTGCATGCTGCTGTGATGTTGACTGGCGGAGGCCTCGTGTGGCAGGGATGAGATGTGAACCCGGACGTGCAGTCCAGGGTCTGGGGCCTTGCTCTTATCACTCTTCTGTACAGCCATCAAATTAAGTAGAACAGAGCAAGGCCCTGAAAGACTAATTATCAACATATTTTACTTCCATTACTTGATGGAAGACGAAATACTTGAGTGGTGAAGGATATAGTCCCAGGTTAACTAGTAAATAAAGGGGGAGTTCGTATCACGGTTGGCAGTGGAGGTGAGGGTGGTGATGATCTGATACAAAGTCTGAAAGTCACACAAATGCTACTATGTCGAAGGGGAGGGGTAAAACAAAGGCAGCAAAGGCACTGGGCCTTCGCGTAGAGGGCGTAACGCTGGCTAGCCCACCGTACTGTAACGAAATAGGGGAGACTCTCTACTGAGCATAGCTGTGCTGGTGATGGTGGACAGAAGCCGCTACCAGGGAACTGGCCTTTCCTGCCCCTTGGGAAGAACGCACAGGCCAGCTCTGCCAAAGGACACTTGCTTCTGAGTCTCTCTGGCTTATCAGTTCATCATTTTCTGTGCAAAAGTGGAATCAAAATAGGAAAAAAAGATCCACTTTCTGGCACCTGTCTAGGTAATATCTGAGTTCTCTTTTGGTAAGAGGGACGGGAGAATGTCTGTGAATTCTGCGTTCATCCTCGGCTGTTTAACCGCTGGCGTGTATCACCGCTGCTTCCCAGCTATGCCGCTTTACAGACGTGCCGAATCTCCCCCGCCCTGTGGAGCGCGGCGGCACAGGCCTGGGAGTCAGGCTGCCCCGGTGGGAACTGCATTCCCAACACCGCCGGTTACGTGAGCTGGGTCGAGCTGCAGCCTCCCGAAATGCCAGTTTCTTCCTCTGAATAGCGGAGACGACATGGGGTTCCACCTGCGGGGTTGCTGTAAGTTAGCGCCCGGAAGGCGCCGAGCACGGTGCATGGGTTAGCGTGTCGGTGGATGTTATTTGCAACCACTGAGTATGTCTTTACAGGTCACTGTTCACAGCCGTTCAGGCAGCAGTCCTGAGTTACACCAGATCAAAGTTAGGGCTTCCGGGCCCATGTTTATTTGGCTGGCATACGTTGAATTGTGTATGGAACTGTTCAATGGAAAGAGTCTTCAGCTCTCAATCAACTGAATGCAAGTAGTAACTATTTATTGTATTGACATATTTACAAAATATTACAAAGTGAAACACCACTCTAATTCACCCTACTGCACGGGGCTGCATACAGGCAAGACAAAGTATCTGGAAAAACATTTACTTCTGTCTTTGGTATTAGAAATCTACACACATTCGCAGCATTTAAAATTTTCAGTACAGAGTATGAAACATAGAGATGTAACCGGTAACATCATGAGAAAGGGCTTTAGTAACCTCTGCCGGGAAACCCGCAGGTCCATGAAATGTAGCAAGAAGACAACACGCCACCGCAAGGGAGGTGGTCTGTTGGCTAAAACAACAAAGAAACCGCATAAGCTGTAACGCTGTGCGCAGGAGTGTTTCCACGTGTGTGAAACTGCTCTCTCCAGAAAAACATCTGGCAGACAGTAACAGGCGGAACACTCCCCAGACAGAGCTGCAGATAAGACTTCATAGGGAAGAATCCACTCCAGGATACCCCTTGAGGGTATGACCTGACTGTACAGAACATTTTATAAAGCTCGATTTCATGATCATTTACACATATACAAAAGCTTAACTGGTTTTAGCAAATCTTTCTAAAACACAATCACAGTTTACATAATTCTGAGGTAAAGGTCCTGAATCTACCCTATTTGAGAAGTCCTGGCCCACGAGGGTCTCTGAGTGGGGATGTGTTCACTGGACATCGTCCTGGCGCGTTGCTGGGCTGGGGAGGAGGCCAGCCACGCCCACCGCACTTGAGAGATGGTCCAGAATTTCTGAACTAAATCGTTCCTAGTTTGGTTCTATTACGTTAATGCTTCTAATGTTCTCTTCAAACATGAAACACTCTCTGACTCTTGTCAGAACATGACTTCTGCCGTGGGGAAAATACTTCATCAGGAAAGAGCCAAGTTATTGTCAACTTGGTTGTCTTGACTGGGCACTCTGCACGTCCCAGGGAGAATGGACTTAGACTCCTCACACGAACAGTGAAGACTTGGTCAAATAAATGCACCACTAACTGGCCTTCCCACCAGTTAACACACACCCAGAAATGGCCTGCAGGTGGGAAGAGTCTCAGAGCCGGAAGCCCACTCACTGTAAGACCAGAAAAGTCTAGGGACCCTCCTCCTGTCCCCGAAATGCATAAAGGACCTCGCTGTGCTTTCCTTCAGAAATCCTCAACAGCCTTGTTTGTGCTACTGCAAATACTCCAGGGAGATGTGAGAACCACCAAGTAGGTCCCAGGTATTTTTCGGGGGGTGGGGGGGCGGGAGAGGTGGTGGGGGAGAAAAGAGCGTATGTTAATAGATGTTGCTTCTCTAAAACGACTTACTTAAAAATCACAGCCCTTGATCTGTTTCTGTAAACAGTGCCACACTTAGTGCAGGTTATTGACAACTACCTAAAACGTTCTCAGCCAAGATTCTCTCATAAAGCACATTTCCACAGTAACCCTAAGAAATCAGGGAGGTTCTGAAGATTTAATAGGAAGACATTCTTTTGTGCACGCTCTCGTAGGTTTTCTTTTTATGAAGTCTGCAAATACAATCAGGACATGAGATGAATAGTTAACCCCCCTGCGATCTGTCACTTAAGAGGCAAACCTGAGCCTCTGCCTCTCATGTTTTACCGTGAGTAACGTCTGGGAAGAAAGTGCTTGCCAGGCAGTGAGCCACCTTGTGAGGCAATTTAAGACAAGTGCTGCTGGACCTTTCCAATAAGCCGCCCCAGTGGCAGAACTCTTAATTTTAATATACGCTCGGAAGGGCAAATCAACCTGCTGCTGCTCTGTGCCATCAGAAATTCTGGTGACTGGCGCGTGAGAAGAAAGTAAATACGTGCGAAGCATTTACTGACGGCTGGCGTTCACGGCGTCTGACTAGACGAAGTAAAAAGAAACATGAGCCAGTGTGTGTGTGCAGGGCTCTTCTGGGAAGAAAGGCTTTTGGCTCTGCCCTGGTCTCCGGCGGTGACAGACTGGCATGGCAGGCTGATTCCTGTGCAGCTCCAGGCAAGCCATTAATCTGTCAGCAGCAGCATCTTTAGAAATCCCAGCGTTAGGACTTGGGAGGGGACGGGGGGAAGGGTGCTGAATAGCCAGAAAGGCAGCTTCTTACACCCTTCAGTGAATTCATAATGCTGCGCAGGCTCCTGTTTATCCTTTCTCTGAGTCCTGGTGCAGGGTGCAACGCTGGATTGGAATTTATTCATCCTCTTCCACATACGTGGATGGAAACCAGCCCACCTGGAAAAGAAAACCACCAACACAGCAACGTGACTTTGTATCTGGCACTTCAAAGGTTCTGCAAACAGAGCATGTCATTTTCATAACACCCTGAAATTAAGCTGGGGTTTTATGCTCACTGCAGGTGAAGAGGATTGGTTTAAACTACTCCTAAAAGCCCAGCAGAGTGAATGATAGCCATGATGGAATAAAATATGCTTCAGTGGTATTCTAATCTGCCAGCACACAAAGAAATACATAAACTAACGTTGCTCTACTATTTAATGCTTCCTGTTTCTGCAGCAGAACAAGATACAAAGACAGAGGTCCTATGCCCCACTCTTTCCAATGTAACTCTAGACTTAAAAGGTGGCTTAGAGACTGAAAAGAACTGATAAACTCCTCAACCCTTTCCCCAACAGGAAGCCACCAAACTTGCCCAAGAAAACCTTCTTTATGGCACTGTCATAGTCACTCAACACACTGTCCTTGTGTGACTAACTTCACTGTGGAACACCCCCCCCCCGTCTCTGGAGCCAGGGCTGGATGCTTATAGGGGCTCCCCCGCCCCCAGCACCACCGTAGGTGCCCACGGCTGCCCCGCCCACGTCGTTCACGTGACAAGCACGTGGGGAGGGACGGCTCACCCTGCCATTCACTTCTCCTCTCCACCAGCCGTTCGCACTCATCTTCGTGTAAATCTTCACCACGTCTCCTTTCAACAGGGACAGTTCTCGCATATCTCTTGCACAGAAGTCATACCTGGCGATGGCAATGCCCAGCACCTTCGGACTTAACACTGTAAAGAAATGATAGAGTCAGAACTGATTTGCAGTTTACTGACCACAAGAACCTAACCAGATGAATGTCATGGATGCAATCAAAATGCGCGGCCGTGATTCCATCACAGACCAGTGAGAATGGCAGAGGGGCTTGAAAGCAGCAGAATTGCTGTTTCAATTCAGTCAGTTGCAGTCAAGTTCATTTCACAAAGTTTAAAAAAACCACTGTTCTGTTTTCGCATTTTTTATAGGGACTTCAAAACAGGGAGTAATTTTTGTAGTTAAAAAAAAAGACTATTATTTAAGTTACTATCTAAGGAGACAGAATCTAAGATAACTAGCATAAATTTCCTATTGACGGCACAGTGATCACTTTTAACTAGGATCTCTAAAAGGTAAAAGCTTTATAGTTTTATCTTTTAACCTTTTCGACTAAGACTCAAAACAACCAACTCCTCTGCTCTGAAAGTCTGTGGAATCCATGTCATCACTTCTAGTTAAATGGAACTTCCTTCCCCAAACAGCTTTTTTTTTTTAACTATTTAGGGACAGTTATTTTTTATAATTTCACTTGTAAAGAAGCTTAAATCAGGTTTTACAGAAAGAATACATAAAGACCACCCATTTATCTTCTTTCTTTCAAAGACTGCCTAATAGAAAACCTTTACTGAAGTATGCAATCAAAAATAAGACACTGGATGAACATGACATTCACCTGCTATATTCAGATTTATTAATTATTATTATTTTTTATGGTAGGAAAGGAGCTAATCACCTTCCTGCCCTCACCTGCCCTGTCTTGAAAGGCAAACTCTGCTTGAGCTGTACCTGTGTTCACCTCTAGTGTTTCATGACACATTTTATATTTACTTCTCTACCTGTTGCTCCTTGGGGTTATAAAGTGTTTTCTATTACATGTTCAGTGATTCTGAGAATCACTCACTTGGGATTGGTGAGGATTTATAAACCTTAAATGGCAGAGGAACTGAAGTATAAAAACAAGAAATAAAGCTAAAAGCTGCCCATCTGGGTTTTTAACAGCTCCCCGTGCCAGGGCAGCTGCAGTTAGGACCCATGGCACTCCAGAAGAGCCTGCCCGCTTGGAGACAGGGAGCTCTGGCCTATTTTTCAGGGCTTTGCAATGACAGAATTTTTTTTTAGTCTCCAGGTGTCCATCATAAGATAAACGAATAGCAACGCTGTAGATTTCAGAACTGTAAAGGGAGCGAAAATAGGACATTTTATTTCACTGTTCAGACACAAACCACTTTCATAGTTTTCTTACGGAAAACCATCCCATTACTGGGGCACAACTCTTAAGAGTCGTGCACATAAAAACACCCCGGTGATGGAAAAACCCCTCTCCAGCTTCACTGTGCGCCCTTGCACAGATCCCTATAACCCCTCTGGGCCATGTTGTTCTCGCCTGTAAAATGAGAGGTCATATTAGGTGACTCCTAAGGGCCTTCTAGTCCTAACTTGTATTATTCCACTGGGACTTACAGGTTAATTTTTAAAAATCTGTAAGGAAACACAGTTTATCTAGCCATCATGTACTTCTCTGTGTGTCACATAAACAGCCATTACATTCTCTGGCTAATGACCGACATCTAGGCAGAATGCTGGTGCTCAAACTGACGGCATGTTCTGCCTTTAAAGCAAAGCGGACTAAATTTTACTCTTAGATTTGGAGGCAAAAGTTGGGATTTTGGGTCTATTTATTTTCTTCATGGAAATACATGAACATTGGCTTTTCTGATCTCCACGAAAGCTCGTTTTACAGAGTGCTTCAGCCCCCCTTTATCCTCTCGGCCCTGCACGCCTTCCAACTGATGAAGCGGAGAACGTCTGACTGAGATACACAGCATGAGCACACACGCACAGCCAGGGGAGCAGGGTGTCAGGACAGACGGTGACCTGATGACGGAGACGGGGAAAGCGCATGGCGAGGACGTGACGCCAGGGGCTGCTTGGCGAGGAGATGGATCTATATGAGAAGCCACACGGAAGTCGGGATATTTTTATTTGCAAACAAAAGCGAGTGGAACAGACACATAAAAGCAGCAGAGCAGTACCTGACCAGAAAGGAGTGGGAGAGTGGGGGACAAAGCTGGAGCCTGGAGGAGCTACAAAAGAAAACCCACAGCACAAAGAAGGGGCTTAGAGAGAGAGAGAGAGAGAAGCAAGAGAGCATTTAGATTTTGGCAAAACACATCTCAGCACAGCAATTTCACTGTCTAGAACCTTATGAAAATTGTTACATCAAAGTTGAAAGACCAAGCTTTGCTTTCACCCCCTCGTCTCCTGTCACCGTTTCTAAAGGAAGATTGAGCCAGATTTTCGCATTCTGATTGACATTAGTTCTGCAACTCAGGATGGGCTGTCCCTTTACAGGGGAACACAGTGCGCCCATTCCATCCCGAGATGGCCTTCTCCTCTTGATGTGGTATCCAAACCTCACTTTGTTACCTCAGTGGAGAAGGGGATCCTGTAAATTCTTAATGTAAAGGGTGCTTCACATCAAAACTGATATAAAGAGCCTGCAGGGTGGTGTCAGTGAAACATGCAGAGCCCACTGAAAATTCAAGAAAATCACTCAGTCTGTAGGAACCACCCTCACCCTCCAACCAAGCATGCACATACTGGCTTATTTCCAGAAATAAAATGTACACCACTCTGAATCTTACATCCGGAGAAGAAAGTAAATATAGCCTCCAACTGGAGGAATGTACAGAGCACTTCTCTGCATATTTGGATGCTCAAAAACTTGTTTTAATAACAAGAGCTAATAATTACCAAATGGTTTGGGAGTCTTCGATGCCAGGCTCAGTGTTTTATATTCAGTGTTTTATTTAATTATCACAACAGCTCACAGACGAAGGTACCCATACTATTTCTTCTTCATATCTGAGAAAAACCCAGATCCCAGCCCAGGCAGAGTGACTCCAGAGTCCAGGCTCTTAGCCGCTGCGCTGCCCGGCACCTACCCCTCTGTTTTAGGCACCACCACTGACAGTTTTCAAACTCCCTGCTGATACCGTGGTGCCCCTGCGATGGAAAAGGAAGGCGTGGTTACAGATTTTCTCCCAGTATTTATTCTCCCATTCATCCGTGGAACAGGTTATTTGGTTGGGCTGTGTTTGCCCAGAAGGAAGGCTGTGACTAAGTTCTTGCTACAGAGATTTAAGTAAAAGTTATCATGAGGCAGCTTCGGGCACCTTTCCTGGTAAGGCAACGGGCACAGGCCTTCACCCTTCTTTCTGCTTCCTTGCTCCATTCTGCTGTCTGGAACGTGAAAGCTGCCACCTTGGTTCATGAGAAGGCAGACCTCGCCTTAAGGATGAGCTTGAAGGAACCTGGGTTACTGAAAATGTTATGGAGCAGAGAAGACCCGCCCTTCTCTAGAGCCCTGGACTTAGTACTTCCAGGTCTTTATGGGAAAAAGAAATACATGTCAATCATGTTTGAGCCAACGGTCTTTGGATTTCTGTTACTCGCAGAGGGACTTAATCTAAACTGTAACAAAAATCTCTCAGTAACCAAGGACGAGGTGAAAGTAGGCCAAGCGAACCACAGTGAGGCCACAATGTAGTTTGCCTCTCTTCAGGTCACTGCTTGATTTGAGAGCCACAGAATCCTTCCCAAGTTAATACTCTTGTTGGGAAGGGATGCTAGAGATACTGAGAATAGCAGGAGCTCATGAAGGGGGTTCCCAGATACGAACCGACAGACTGGGCAAGGCGACTGGAGGGGTTCGGTGGTTCTTGGAGCCTCCGTATGTACACGGATGCGTTCACGATACTTTTCTCATGAATGGCCTTACATATTTACTTTTGACCTACCCTGAAGTACATCGTTGTTGATAATCAAGGTCCTTTTCTAATTGCATTTTCCAAGTAACTTTTTTTTTTTAATGCAGTGGGGTATGTGCCATCACAACTTTCATTTATTGCCATGCAGTGTAACTGGTTTCTTGTTTTCCTTGAGATTGTGTGATATCTACTGCTAGAGAAGAGGATGCTGTCTCTAGTTTAATGAGGAAAATGGCACCCAAACTCTACTACTGGCAGAAAACCTGGTGCCAAGATTCCCACCCCATGTCTGTGAGAACTTAAATCAGGGCTCCTCATTCTACACATTACTTCTGGCAGGTGTTAGAATTTTCTCCTTGACCTGTTTTCCAAGGGTCCATCCTTCATTCCCTCTCTGGGACTATTTATCCACTGAGTAATCAAAGAAGAAAGTAGTTCCCCAAAATTTCTAATGAAGGTAATTCAAGACAAGAGCCTACAAATATAACAAAAGATAAGCTGACTCTAGAAGGAAGAAATGAGAAATCCAGGAAAACGCAAATAAATGAGATTTAAATCTCAAAAGCAGGTAGATGTATTAGATCAGATGATCTTTCTCTAAAATACTGATTCCTGACGTAACGTGGATAATGCTTCACCAAAGGACGTGAATCTCTGTTCCAGACACATCACATCAGTGCGCTACCTCTCTCTCTTAGCCCCAAAAGCCTTGCAAGCATTTGTACTCATGTCAAGTACGTATAATGTGAACCATCTTGAATTTTATCTAAAAATTATAATCTTAACTGAATGCTAGCTTTTCCCCCTGTGGTTAGGCTCAGCTCCTCTGTCAGCTTCACGCTAACGTCTTCCCCAGGGAATGGAACAAATGCTCAGATGCGCTTTAGTTCCTCATGTGAACTCCAGTCTTTGATTTCACTTATTTTCAAGACACTGGCGTGAAGTATAACCATTATCTCTAATTTAACTTGTCTGGAATCAAACTCATCATCTTCCTTCCTGTAATCTAGCTCAACCTTCCACCTTTGTGTTATTTTTTTTAATGACTCCTGTGTTCTCTTTGCAAACTGTCCTTGCAAGGTCAGTATACTGTTCAGCTCTTTCTCTTCACTCCCTTCTTCCTCTGAAATGTAAGTTATCCCCTCACCAGACCCTCAGCTCATCCATCCCAGTTCAGGTACTTCAGCCATTTCTAGACTAAGATG